GCTCGCGGGATGGTAGCGGTCTCTCTCTCTCTCTCTCTCTCTCTCTCTCTCTCTCTCTTGTTCGCATACGCTCGCGCGTGGGGAGAGGTGGTGGCGCCGCTGCTGCGATGACGACTGCCCGCGGTCGGAGCACATATGTTACCTCTCTCCTCCACGAGGAAGAAGAAGGTTGTGCAATGACGTACACGCGGGCTCCCCCAAACCATCCTTGCTGCATCTGTCTTGTTTTTTCTTGGATCGCTTTGAAGCTCGCTTTTTGTTGAGATGTTCTGTTTTGTTTCTTGATTGACTTAATTGTTTTGGTTGTTAGGTAGTCAAATATGACTTCGGTTAAATTTGATTTTTCTCTAGATTGTCAGTTGTATATTCTATGAGATCTTTTTCTGATATGTCCGGATTTGTTCTGCTACCTTTAGTTTTGTTCAAATTCTCGGTTTCTGAGATAATGGTTGAAACAATTGAATGGGGCATAAATACCAAAATTTCTTGTTATCTGTTTAGAGGACTTGAGTAGGCTTGGATTGTTTCGTTGCCTGAGATGGGAGGTTGTTATAGGCCTTTAGCTTTTCTATGTTATGAGGCAAAGATAGATTTTTTATTGTTTTATACTAACGTCTTCATTGAGTACTGGTTGATTTAAGGAGGCTATACAAGAGAACTTGTAAGCTGGTTCAGCCGAAATGGGCTTTGAGGTTTGTTCTTAATTTCCTTGTGTTGTTTTCAATATTTTTTTTCATTTTTGAAGATAGATATGTTAAACAAGATCTATTTGCACCAAGATTTTTTATTTATGTAGTGTTGCATCCCTTGGATAATCATTAAATAATCATATGTATACACTGCAATGATTTGTAGATAACTGCATTATATTTATTAATCGAACATATCTTTCATGATTTTAAATATTGAATGGCAAGGCAATTTTGTTAATTCCTATGGCGAGCTGGTTTTTAGTCAATAATTTTTTTGGTTTCTTAGGCACTGATTGAGTATATGAAAGCTCAATAGATTCCCAAAATATCATGTCTTGACTCTTGAGTATCTGTAGCCAATGAATCATAAGAATTGTTGAATTGTGCATTTCTTATTGAAGAACTGCACTAATGGAGATCATCTTATGTGCAGATCTGAGGTAAAATGGACAGACGTGGCAGGTTTACAATTGGAATCAGTCCATATGAAGTACAAAATTCTTTTCAGTACTCTAAGATGATTTCCGGTTGCATGTGTTGCTTCTATGTATTGGATTAAATTTTTGGAAAAACCGTATTATGAATAACATTATTTCATGTGGTAAAGCCTCTCAACAAAATGATGTCTTCCATTTTTATGATTACACATTTGGAAGTTGGGTCCATTCCATGTGTGATCCATTTGATCACATTGGTCCTCCTTGCCTTGTTCCTCTCTTCAACAATCTTGACAGGTTTGTTTTGTGTTTTGGTCCAACACTTGTGTGGCAGCCGCTGTTGGTTTGACATGGAATATTTTGCGATGCGGTGAAATCGGTTTTGGAAATGTGATTGGTAGCAAACTGTGCTTGATTGTTCTTTGCTATTCCAAATCTCATTTGCTAACAAAAATTCCAGCTATTGTGAGGAATCATGTCTTGCAAAATTTGGTCCTTTTGTCTCGTAAATTTAGGAATCATGTGCTTGATGTGTTGTCAGACAATTGCCAATATCATGGAATTCGAAAGTGCAGCATACAGATGTAGTTTGCTCGTTTTTGGTGAATTCCTTGATGCTTGCTAGTGATGTTTTTGTTTAGTAGAAGCCATAACATTTCAGTTTTGTTGACACGATGCAACAAAAGACCGTCTATGTTTGTAGTGCCTATTCTTCTGTATGATGTGAACAAAAGCACTTGTCCGATGATTTCGTTGGCTTTTACACAATAGTATTTACTTTTCATCTCTCTACTTTCTTTCCTCGTTAAACAATTCAGGCTTATTTGATTAGTAGCAAAAGACTTTTGTATATTATATGATGAATTTGACAAAATTGGTGAACAAAAAATGTTCAATTGAAACGCCTTTGAGTTTAATGATAATGATAGAGATTGCGTAGGAGAAGGAAGTAAAATCATGATGAAAAACGATGATTATGGAATAATGCAAGTGATAAAAGTAGTGGTGAGAGAGAAATAAGAAATGAGATCAAAAGTATAATAGTTCTTTCAGAAAAAGCTAAAAACGTCCAGAAAAAAATAAATAAAAGATTAGGTATGTTTAAGATTATTTGGGATAATATGGATTAACGGTCAATAACTCTCTTTCTTTGTTCGGTTTTGTTGGTGGTGTTAAAAGAGTTATGTGAATATCTGTTTTTGGTCTATCATTGAATGAACAATATTGGAGTGAAATTATTTTATATTTTTTATTGAACTATTAATATTTTATATATCAAGATGATTAATGTCTTGATTGTTGATAGCAAGACCTTTCACTTATTGTAATAGACTTGAGAAGCCATGCTTTTTGATCCATTCACACAGATTTTTATTGTCTATCTTAATATCAGTTATCATGATTCATGAGATAATTAATTTATTAATTTTATTGAGCTCCAATTATTGATCTACAAGCTTTAAGTTGAACTCAAAACTATTCTTAATGTTAACCCATACATTCATCTTTCGTAAAAGAAAATAATATAATGAACCCAAAAAAATATATCCCTTATGGTAAATTGATAAAATTGGTAAGAATATAACTCAATTATATCCAAGAAGATAATGAACATTCTGCAAAATACAAATAGGTGCAGCTGATCATCAAGGAAAGACTCATCAGCTGTTTGGTGCTATGAACATTTCACAGATTCCACCTATGTTACATCATGAGGAAGACGATCTTCATATGGCTGTTACAACAAGATCATAGTCTATGAAATTTGGACTAGGAGAGAAACCAACAGTGTTCGTTTCCTAACAAATGAGCATATGTCCCTCTGAAAAATCACTTTATCCTCTCACTCACTATCTGCAACTTAGAAAATCTGAGAAATAATCTGCCACAAACTCTAAGTTAGAGTTTGCGATAGACTATTGTGAGCATATGTCCAAACTCTCGTTGGATCGAAGAAAACTCACCAACTGTGGGCAATTCTAAGTTAGAGGAATAATGTGAATGGCAGTCAATCTACCGGGTGTAGATGAGACTAAAAAATGACATGCTTCTCATCCTATTTTCGTATATTAAACTGAGAAAATCGTCTTGATTTGTGTACTTTGAGCCGAATTGCTGGCACCTTTCTGGCTACTGCCTGCCATATCATCTGAACTGCATCATCTTCCTTGGATGGGTACTGGAACTCAAAATAGCCTTCGACCTCTTTCAATCTTTGCCACATCTGGGTCCAGGCCTCTCGACTTACTCCTCTGATCAGTTTTATCAGAAAACCTTTTTTAATCGCATCGGATGTGCGCACAAAGATGGAAAACTTGGAGTAGTCGAGGACATCTTCATATGGGAGCTCGATATCGTCACTGATGATGACTGGTACACAGTGGCTAGCTATGGCATCAAACAGGCGGTTGGAAGATGGGGTGTCCCCAGCAATATTTAGACAGAATTTTGCTGAATGCATCCCTCGACTGGCATCATTGATCCCATTAGCACCAACACTTCCAAATGAAAAATGCACATCTTTTTCATTTCTTAAAAGATAAAATAACTCTTGTCTGATTGATCCTCCCTGCATACCAATGGCAATGCTAGATTACAAGCTTATCTTGTGAACTACACCAGTCAAGCAAACAGGGTCAAATGAAGCACTATATTTAAGATCCTAAATGAAAAATATATGCTCAAGAGCACACTCAAGATATTGTAAAATTGTTCGAGGGCACAGTCGAGATCTTTGCAAAATTTTAGATTCAAAATGTTTGAATGGCAACTACAACAGGAAGTAGAGAATTCTGATGACAAACATCCACAGTTCAGTAAATTGTAGTAAAACAACCATGAGAAAATATAATGCAGATGACTATAACAGAGAAAGGGAGCAGAAAAAAAAGAATGGATTAAAACATGAATCTAGATAGAAGGAATAAACTTTAAATATTCTTGATAGGATAGTTTAATAATGTCCTAATTGACAAGATTTTTTCTTATAATAAACTGGTTATCTGCATCATTTTTTTGTATTAGACATATTTTTAGCTTTATAATAAGCAAGCAAATCTACGGCCAAGGTTTTCTCAAGAATATACTGCCTATTTGTGGACCCTAATCATCATTACTACCCAGTAACTAACCATCTTCCCCTCAGAAAATAATGATGCAAAGGGAGAAAACTATGCCAACCAATTGTTTGACTTTCACACATGGCTTGTTAGCTAGATTGTATTTCCTCATTAAATCCAGTGCTGCATGTAGCTTCATGTAGCATCACAGAGTCACACAATCGGTTCACATTGACCCAAACAAAACCTACAAGAAATACTACTAGAAGTCCTTGATTAAGTAAATTCCAAGTAACTGGTTGCAGAATCCATTCCATCTTTAGTGGCATGATTAGCAAAGAAGAAAACCATCATCCATCAAAATTTCATAAACACTTGTATTCTTTAAGGTATTCATCATGAGAGCAAGTCCAACCAAACGAATTCTTCATCTGCTTCGCTACTTTTCTTCCTCATTCACCATAAAATTCTCCTCCCCAGAGTAAATTACACTACAAGACCGCAAAGAATTCATGCCACTATAGCAAATTTTATGGAATAATTGGATCTCCAAACACCAAACGACCACTACTAAATCAAGCAACTTCTTTAACAATACTTCATAGGATTGCTGAAATATGATGCCAATAATCATGATGACAATTTTCAAGGATATAGATTCAGATGTCTACCAAGACAGTTTGCTGTTTTGTTGTCTCAATATGCAACTAAATACACTTATGAAGATGCAATCAGTTATATGGAGTCAACTATCTTGAATCATTTATTCTCATTTTCTACGGAAACTATATCTAATTGTTCACAAATAAGAATATTCATTTCTATATTTTTTTAAGGACTCAACACACTCATCTCAATATTTCCATCTCAACAACACAAAATTTTGAATATGTTGTTTATTTATTATCGAACTGTCAGATCTATAAAGCACCATTCATTTAAGAACTATCTTATATGATTTTCTTTTTAATCTAAAAGGTCTGCAATAATCACAAAACCCCTGATATCCTTCTTCATGAATAATATATTTATCAATCTCTATCTTGTTAAATAATCGATATTCAGCATGAAAAACATGAAGTTAATATTAATTTTTTACCCAAATAAAGCGAAATATACTGCACTGAAATGTAAAAAATGCATTTCATGCATGGTATGTAAAGGTCAACAGATGCTCAAAATCATTCAAGCAATATGATGGACTTCACTGTTCTGCCTGTTCCCACTACAAATTGCAATGTAATAGTGGTTGTTCTTGACATGAAGAGGATCATCCTTAGGAACATCGTCAATGCATTCCATATCATATCTAAATATATGCTCCTACAAGTTCAAGTACAGGGATAATCTAACTTTGATCAGGTATATTTTCTACCTAGGCTTCAAGCTGATGGACCAAGGATAGCGTGCATTGACAGTGCTATTCAGTGGCAGAAGCAGGCAATCATAGGCTTTAACAAGGTAGCTTGCAAGGATTGTGGATGTCCATCTCAAAAATGAGTTAACCCTGATAGTGTTTACTAAAATATTTTCAATTGAGCTTGTAATGCTTGGCATCTTCAAGTACCATCTTTAAATCATATAATGCTTTTGTTCGTCGTTGTCCAAAATAAATGAAATGTAAAAGATCCAGAGTGTTTATACCTTTGATAATAATAGTATGACAGATGAGAGAGTTCCTTTAGAATCAAACATGCAAAAGACCAGTCAAAATCCAGGCACACCCTGATCTATTAAAGGAAGAACTGATCAGGTGATATCATGATATGAGGAAGAGAATGTGTTTAAGTCTTGGTAGATGCAGACAAAATAACTTGATTGCACTTCCTCCAAAAGAACTTAGTATTCCATAAAAACAAGACATTCTGGAATCTGGATACTGCCTGTGCATAATGCAGCATCAAAATGAACCCACACATCAACCAAAGGTAACAACAAATTAAGTTGAAACATAAAACCAGGCTTACTAGAAACAGGTTCAAGAAACAATACAAACACAAACACTGAATGCAGGTTCAAGGGAACTTTTTCTTAGGGGCAATTTGGTTTCCTGCATTTGCAAATTATGTAATTGCAAATGCAGTCACATTATTTTAACCATAAGGTGGAGAACTTTTTTGCTTTCTGAATGAGCACAATAGTTCATTTTTTAATTGAAGATTCAGCTAAATGGTATGTTCACTCTGTCATATATGTTTGCATAGTCACTGCAGAAAAAAGGTCACCAATAATAATTATATACCACATGACATATACTTTTGTCGTCTTCCCTCTATTCATATGTAAATGTAAAATGAACAACATTTCTTTTGTCCTACATTCTATTCATCCGGGATTAGGGAAATAGATTGGTTCTTCAGCTTAGAATAAAGCATTGTCTTCTCGTCAAACAATTATTTGAGTACGCTGAATGGTATAAACCATTGTTCATGCTCGATCAGAATCAAAAGAAGCCATTTGACAAAATAAAGTGTCCAGAAGCTTGCTGTTATAGATTAATCAATGGAAAATAAAATGATATGTCAATTAATGTGATACATCAACACCACTAGCAAGCATACTTCTTATGAACTTCAAGAAATCAAAGATATGCTAGAAATAACAGTATCAAATAGTGTTTATAACAAAACACTCACATCTTTCCTGTAGATAGCTCCTTGGAAGTATAATAAAGTAGGGCGATCATCGAATCCAGATGAGTCATTGACAAATGTCTTGATCAAATGCCTGTAGGGAGCAATTATGTCTTTCTCCACATTAGCTACATGGGGAGCGTACCGTCCAAAATCTGCAAGAATGAACATGCAAGGCCACAATTTCGTCCGAGCATCTAACATGCTGTTTGGGTGGTGTGCCATTATGATATGGTCTCGCCCCCCTGACCTTTTCCACTCCTTTTGAGCTGTCAAAAATCGCACCAACTTCTGCTGCAACAACTTGTTTGTACTGACTCTTTGATGTGCCTTGATCTTTGAATGTCGATTGTAGCTCAAAGATGAAAAGAAGGGCACAAACACAACATCAGCTTCACGAGAATCCTCGACCCTCACCACGCTGCATGGGCCAGTCCGGTCAGGAAATCTCGAGGACAGGAGATCCAGTGTCAGCCAGTACTCAATGCTGTGCTGAAGATTCAACCCGCCAGGATGGTTTGGAACTTTGGTGCGTATATCAGGCCACACGCTCTTGCCACCACCATCCCAACCCAAAAGACCAAAGTGAAACTCAGGTGGCAAATCATACATGAAAACTTTCAGAAGCACGTTGTTCGGATGACATCGCTCGAGCTTTTCATCTGCTGGTCCATTTTCATCCAAGAAAGGTGACTCCACGAGCGACGAAGCCTCATCTTCATGTTCCCTTGAAGGGCTACCTTGGTTCTCGATCACAGAAAAGATCTTTTCTTTCAGCAATACATGGTTGACGACTGGTTTGCCAGCATAACCCCAGAAGAAGAGGTAGGGCAGAACCAGGACTGTCGCAAAGGAGAGGCAGAAAAGGAAGGGTTTCCGGCATAAACACCAATATGGTCTAATGTTTCTATTGGCCATGCAGCACAGATCTCCAATAAAATACCTAATTTAGCTGCAAAGCATCCAGCTTTATCAACCCAGGAACCAAGAACAGTGGCCAAGACCAATCGAGAAACAAAATCAAACAAATGGAATTTGTTTCTTACGGAAAACAAATCAAATTTCCGGACGAACCCAAGCCAAATGAAGCTAAAGATAAAGGTTAGCCGGTTAAACAAAAGGCTCCAGTACTTGATTCCCAAACGTAGCCAGCTCTAATCCATACTCAATCAAGAAACAGGTCTGCAACCAAATGAATCTGGCAAAAATTTCAGACAAGAAGAACATCATCAATCGTCCAAACAGCCCCCCACACAAAACCAAACCGCGACGACTTCACACCCTAGTCATACACGAGCAGAAAGGCGACATTTTGATGATCGAACTCGAACCAAAGCTACCTAAACCGAGCAAGCCAAGCCCCAATCGACAAAAGAAGCAGAGATTTGATGTCAAGAAAGGGGAACTAACCAAACTTCCAACCAAAAGCGAGCCGAATCACGTATCGTAGATCCACGGCGAACGGAGTGACGGAAAGGGGGAAGGAACCATCAAAATCGAGCTCCGGAGCTTGTCTTCGCACGGCGAGGAATTCGGATCGGTCTCCCTCGCTCGATTCGCGGGAGATTCGGGCCTTTTTATGGAAGCCGGCTCTTCGATGTCGCCGCACGGCCATCAGAGCTTGTCGTAGGAGAGAGAAGAACGTGAACTTTATTATTAGTTTAGTTTATATATGAAAGGAAAGGAAAAGAAGTGTACGTTTGCTAACACTAATTTATTATTGCTGAGCATTTAATGGCTTGTAATTTATGCCACACACGCAAAGAGTTAAACATGGATTAGCGTTCGATCAAATTATTGCTGCAACATTCAAGTAATATTATGATCTTAATGATCTCTCGGGAAATATTTAATGTGATAATTTTTACTTTTTATAAAAATATTATTTAACATTTGAAGATTTTATTGTCACGTCTATGGGAGTTATAACGTCTTAAGCATAGATCACACTATAAAACCGCTTTTTAACAAATTTGATGTGTTTTAATGGGAATTGATCTGGCAATTGACAGGAATTAAATTTATACTTTTATGAGAAGAAACAATTCTCAGGTCTTTTTTATAAATCATGTTAATAGTATTATTTTTTCTTTAATTTTTATTTCATATATATATATATATATATATATATAATAAATATTTCTTCGTGGTATCTGATATGAAATATATAATCAGCCAACTATTATTCATCACGTAAGGTCGTAGGAGAAAAATCTAGACTTGACACCTGCTTGCCCGCGTAGATAGAAGTCCAAAAGACAGCTCGAGTCGATTACCGATTTACCTTCCATATAGAATATTCATAGAAATATTCTCGAGAGTCTATGGACAATTTGGGTTTGTTACAAATTATCTCCCTTACAAAATCTCTTCTATATTAGATATAATAACATGTCCTCAACTCTAAGTAAAAAGACATAAATTGAGAACTTAGAGTCATAGAAGTTAACCTCTGGGCTACCTTAAGTGTCACGGGGATATGCTTGATAAGCCTCTCCTAACTTTATTCAATTTTTGTGCAAGTGACAACTTGGAAAAAGCGCTTTTCATTTTGGATGACTCAACACATATGGATCAGGGTCATGTCGTGTTGTGAAGGACGTCAACGATATTTTTCCTCAATATTTTAGCACTGGAAGGAGGGCTCGATGTTGCAAGAGTGTCCACAAGTCGATAATGTCAGACCAACATCACTTTTGCTTAGAAGGTGCAGGAGCCACCCTTTCCCTATATGGATGCATCCACCTTAGCACATGTATTGATATAATATTGGCATCTATTCAATGACCCGAGACTCTCACCTTTGGGAGTGATGGTCAACCATCTATTCATCCCTACTAAGGCATTCCTGAACCTTATCTAGCGAGTACAAACACTAGCTAGTATGATGTAAGTTATTATCCTGCTTTTTTCTTGGCTAGCCTAACAACTGAGGGAGCGCCTCGTTCCCAGACCCTTCGAGATTAGGTCAAATGTCTCTTCGGGATCACTCCAAAGAGGTGTGTGATTCTGAGAAACTTGACTTATGTTAGAAGAGCCGCTATAACGGAGGCTTAGGTCGAATGGCGCTCAAGGCACATGAGTCGATAAAAACTTAACCCCCCACACTAGAATACCCGTCACAACGAAGACCGGTTTGAATGGCATCCAAGGTGCGTGAGTGGAGAAAAATCTGACCCATGCTAGAAGATCCAATACTGTAGAGGCTCAAATCGAATAGTGCCCAAGGCATGTTAGTGGAGAAAAACGCAACCTGTGTTAAGACCCACTATGATGGAGGCTCGGGTCAAATGACGCTTGAGGCACGTGAGTTGAGAAAAGTTTAACCCGTGCTAGAAAACCCGCTACGATAAATGCTCAAGCCAAAAATTTTCTAAGATACATCAGTTGAGAAAATCCGACTTGTACTAAGATAAAACTACTATGATGAAGGTATAAGACCAAATATGTCAAGATGTATGAGTCAGGAAAACCTGACCCATACTAAGATAAATCTATTATGACGGAGGCGCAAGGCCAAATATATTCGAGGTACCTGAGTCAGGAAAACCCGACTCACACTGAGATAAATATGCTATAGTGGAGGCGCAAGGTCAAATGTACCCAAGACATGTGAGTTGAGAAAACCCAACCCGCACTAAGATAAATCCGCTATGGTGGAGATGCAAACCAAATTCACCCGAGACGTGTGATCGAGAAAATCTAACTCGCACTAAGATAAATCCACTACGATGGAGGCACAAAGCCTAACATGCCCAAAACAGGACTGACTCGGGAAGCCTCTTTCGACTTTAGTCTTTGTGCATGTGACAATTTAGAAGGTATTTTCCACTTAGGACAACTCCATGCATATAGATTAGGGCCACATCATGTTAATAAGGTTATCAATGATATTTTTTCTCAATAATATATAATGTTATTGAATTATCATACACAAAATTGAATGGCAAAAAAAATAAATACCTAAAGCATATGTGAAATTAAAGGTTCGAAACGTTATCCTACAAATTTTGATGTATAAGATATTAATATGATGATATATTTGACTCACTTATGTCAAATTCAGAGTTTCGAACCTCATCTTATAAAATTTGCATGTTTGATTCATTAGTTTGATAGTAAAATATCTGACACATATACCCCTCGATTGAGTTTAGCTCCTTGGTTTATAATTTTTTAATCTAAAATATTAGTCTAGTGCTGAGGCATTTGACTCACATTCTACAAATTGATGATTCATAATCTAGTCTATAAATTTCTTAATGATGTCAGCCATCTTGATTGTTGATAACAAGACAAGAGTCTCACAATCAAATCTTTATTCTTTGTTTAGAAAACAATTATTTAACCAACCCAAAATAATTTCTATTGAGCAAAAGTATGTTTACACAAAAGGAGGTGATTATTGCAAAACATAATCTTGACAGAACACAATAATTGCATTCACAAAAAAGGCAAATGCAGTTTCTTTGGTAGTCAATGGGAAAAAGGAGGTTGGCTCAGCTTCATTAGTTCACAGTTGTTGAATGAGTTGGACCACTTGGCTTTGATGAGCCAAAGCAGACGAAGATGCTTATTACCTAACCCTTTGGACATGCATCGACTCGATTTCAAATTATTGTGTCCATAGAAAAGCTAATTGTTTTATGTAGCTTTATCAATTTGTGTAAGATTTTTGTCGTCATAATATTGATCTGACTTATATGTATATGCATACATTTTCTATACCGATTCCTATTCATCGATTCATCCAAAAACTGGTATTTATTTTCTTATATTAAAAGGAAATTACATGGAAAGATTGTCACAGTAAAATGGGAGACGGGCAGATAGCAGATGTCACCGGTGAGGCACGAGGGTGGGGGCAAATGTATATGGAGCTCCATGTTGCATGGTACTGACGTTGGTTTAGCCTACGCATCCGTGTACGCAGGCTATGTGATGGACACAACCTCAGACAAGCAGTTACCGACCACTGTCCTATCACCACGTACGGATCCACAGTTTATGCGATGAGAACGAGAACAAGTTCATCCTCCGTACCTTTACCATGGCTGGCCCAGCCGCTGGATGTTAGCCAACTAATCTCACCAGCCAAGGAGACAAAGGAAAGCTAAAAGGTGTGATGGCATTGATGGAGGTGTGTCGGTGAAGAAGGGTGGTGGCGGTAGTGGTTGTGGTGGTGGTAACAGTGGCGCAGGCTTTTCTTAGCTCAGTCTCCACTTAATAACTGCACAGCTTGGGTTCCTTGCAGGGCAGGCTTCCAGTGGGTGCATCGCAAATGGGGAGATCGGGATCCGTTCCTGCTCTTCTCTTCTTTCTTCTCCTCGTCATCTGCTGTGCTGCAGTGGCTGCATCATCAACCATGGTCGGTCTCTCCCTCCCTTTCTTCCTTCTTTTCCTCGCTTACTCTGTCCTCATGGTGTTTGTAGGATGCGCCAAATGAGGAGCTCGGAGTGAACTTGGCAGCAACAAAAAATGTGAGTTGAACTTGGACTTCTTGTCATTCCTTTTCCTTCTCTTGTCCTGTATGTTTCCTTGAGAATACAAGTGAAGATGGACGAGGTCTAACTCCTGTTTGCTCTGTTCCTTACTTGGCAGCAGAAACACAAGCATTCCGGATTTTCTCAAGCAGGTGAGATGGCCATCATGTTTTTGCTTGATCTATGTTCCTCCAACTGTTCACTTCCAGGGTCTTTGATGCATTTATAGTGTTTCTGCGAAATAACAATTGAATTAGACTCCAGAAATATGTTTTAAGTTGGTAGGAAACCTTGTGTGGTTAATGGATAACTACATTGCTTCTGCTAATGGATAGCTTTGCATCTGCTTCAGAATCCACAAACTGTGGTTAATTTCCCACCATGCTCTTTTGAGTTCTCCATACTGCCTTGATGAAATGTGAGAGCAGTACAACACCGAAATTTTCAACTAAAAAAATTGTAACTTTGAGCTTTACTAGCTTAGATCCACAACAAGTTTATGACAACAAAGGCAGATCCAACTTTTGTGAAGTAGAAGAGGTAGAATCTCAAACAAAAGAGGTAGTTGACAATAGAGAGTCAGAAATGTGTTAGAACTACCAAGAGAAGATCCAATGTGACAAAAGGGTCATATCCAGGAAATTTCTGTAGACCAATCTAGTTTGGACTAGAAATTTATGATCAACAACAACATCAAAACAAGACATTACTGTCCCTATAAGCTTTGACTGCAAGATCTTGTGCTTTAGATCCTTCAATTCTGTTCAAACAGAACAAGTCCGAGACTAAAAGAGCCTAACACATTATGCCTCCAACTCCAAGTTTCATGCATGTTGGAATTCATTCACAGGCATACCGTATGATCGTTGGACATGATTTTGCAGAGTGCCCGGGTGCATGTCAGTATAGATGTTCGAAGACAGCCTACAAGAAACCCTGCATGTTCTTCTGCCAGCAGTGTTGCTTCAAATGCAAGTGTGTTCCTCCAGGGACTTATGCACACAAGGAGGTATGCGCATGCTACAATAACTGGAAGACCAAGAGAGGAGGCCCTAAATGTCCTTGAAATATTCTACTTGAAGATTTCAGGCTTCTCCTAATTTCCTCATTCTAGTTAGCAGAGATATGATGTGTATCACCAGTTCTCTATCTGATTAAGCTTTAAGTAATTATGAAAGACTCCAGTATCGTGTCTTTTTATCATGCAATGACATATTTGAGAGTGTTTTGCTAAGACAAGGTTTCAGGCATAATTATGTTGAGATCACACCAATTCTATGACTTTCATATCAGTTTAGTCTAATGATTCACAATGTTGACAGTATCAGAATGTTGAAGGATCCATAATTCTCAGTGTGTACAGGAGATTTGTCCCTAGCATCTTTAGATTAGCAGCTATGGCCTCAGCCAATCAAGCTATTGCATTCATGTCTCTGATCAAGTTTTCTTATAGTACTTATATTTGATTATTATGTTTTATGTACTTATGTCTTTATCTTGCAATGGCAAAAATGAGATGATGTTGAGATTAGCTCTTCAAATTCATGACTTTGATGTCAATTCAGTCTAATGAATTTTTATGGCTTGTATGAAATATCAGTCAGATAATGATGGATTTCTGTTACAAATGATCAGCACAAACATTGTATTAACTCTCTAAGGAGTTCTGATGGCAAAGAAAAGAAGACAAGGCTGTTAAACTGAGATCTGGAAGCAGATTTTTGGAAGACCTTACAGTATCAGGTTAATTTAACATATATATCTGCAAACAAGAACAGTAAAATGAACAAATATGTCTGGAATCTATCCACTGGAAATAATCATTCTAATATACAGGAATATCTACTCTGATCACAAGACCATAGTGTCAGAAAAAAATATCACCATAAATATTTTTCCTTGTGTTTGGAACATGTTAGGAAAAACAAGGCTCGGATTTTGTTGATATTATAGGCATAAAACAAAAGAAGAAATGTTTTTTAGAGGCTGAAAATTCAATTTCCAAGCTTTTTTTTATTGCTTGGTGAAAATTCCAAAACAGTAAATACCTAAATTAAGGACAAGAAAACAAGAAAGGGGCTTCAGGAATATGTTTAAAGCTTCCAATAACTCAGATATGAAAACAATAACCTGTAATTAAGATATTGAAAGCATACTTTAATTAATGGTTAGCCAACAATAACTCATTTTTATTAAGTGAAGGAGCAGATGAGTCATGACACTGTTCACAAAAATCACTGGCTAAAAGTTTGGTCTTAACATGATCATAAAACCCACGCAATTCCTATACTCCAAAGTCGATGGATCATAGCTGTGCACAACAACAAATGACACACATCCTTTTTCCCTGACACTGACGGCAAACAGCAACGAGCCTATCATAGAATACCCCACTCGTAACTAAACTGTGCTGTGCCATTAATTTGCCTTAAAAACCGGCCAGAGTATAAATGCCATGCCACCAAACAAGCTTCTCTTTCTCCCTTTCCAATGGCGACCATACTTCCTTTTCCCACTAGTGTTCTCCAGCTTCATGATTGATGGTTGCAGGTAAAACCAAACATCTGAAACCACAGCATGCAATGCTGCCTCAGACTGTTGAACGACTGGGTTAGATTGCATATGACCAGTTTCATATTGGTGTTGCATATAGTGGAGTGTAAAAGCTAATTAAAGAAGTCAATGAATCGAAAACCAAAATTGCAAGAACTATTATGATAAGGAAAGCTTAGTCTTTATTTAGTTGTAATCCAGTATAAAAAGGCTTTGACTTGTACCCATTGTATTACATATGACAATTCTTGATCTCTATCTTCATCTGAATATTACATGATATTTCAAGCCATCTTTAGAAAATATTCATCAGAGCTTTTACATATAATTACTCATCACTCAGTCAAGACCTTCAAATCAAATCGAAGCGAACCGAATCGAAAAATATGATTTAAAAATAATTCTTTATAATTTGGTTTGTTATTTATTGTTAAGATAGAAACTATTCTTGACCAGAAACATAATTTTCATAACCAATTATAGTTTATATACATTTCAAATTTTAGTTGCAAACTTAAGCCCTTCCTTTATTTGCAATACAAAATGTTCTCATCTCCACACAAATCACAAAAATAGAAGATAGAAATTTCATAAAAACATATTCTTAAGAGTTTATAGAAAACATTTATATATAAATTACAAACTCCAAATTGCATCATATGACTATTTGGTTTCTCTATCGAATGTCTTTATTCGGCTTAAGAAACATATTGTTCAGTAATTCCTTATGAACCTCTTCTTGTTTATATATATACACGTATATATAGTTATTTATTTATACCACATATATATATAAGAGATGGGTCCAACGGACGGTCGAGATGTGAAAATGAACGGTCCCCGTCCCTCCTCGGAATACTCAATCTTGGAGACGGTTCGGAATCGGATGTGTACGGTCTCAGATGATACTGAGAGGCATGCAGTTGAGGACTTGAATGGCGTCATTAACGTCGCACGTGATGCATTCATTGACCCTATGAAGTACAAACGCGACCCAATCAGCACCGCCAACCTTAAGGTCTCCCTCCCCCAGCCGGCATCAACCATCACCGCTCTGATCATGAATAGCATTCAATTCTGGCTCACCTAACCCTTCTTCCCATCTACCCATTGCATCCGACATATGCGCAAGACACCGATCGAGCGTAGAATGGAAGAACATCAATCGTCTGTTCATACTTGGAAACTTGGAATGGATACACAAACAACGCAAATTGAATTCTGGCAACGTAATACACTTCTCAGCGCATGAAAATAAAGAAACTGGAATGGGTAGACCACACGAATCGATTGGTGAATCCTAGAAGAATCCGACGACGGCGATGGCGCAGGAGAGACCGGCGAGTGCGAGACGACCCACTGCTCCGGCTCCGGCGGCGCGGTTCTGCGGGGGCGGCGCGGCCGGTGTCCCTGCAGGGAATTAATTCAGGCACAGGTGCTGTGATTTCGACTGGTAGCATTAACTTAGGCCTATCACTCCAACAAGAAGAAATAGTGGCTCACCGGGCAACCGCGGGCCAATGCCTGATGGAGCTGATGAAGGAGACATTGGACTGCCCATCGGACTACCTGTAACTGGATATCCTATTGCTGCAGCATTGCCAATCACAAAAAGGCTCAGTTGACATGGAAAGCTCATAACGATCTTATATCAACGTAAATCCACTGTTTACAGCAAGCACAGACGTGTAAGCTTGACTGACCTGCGCACAGGCTCACCGGCAAAGAGTCGATGTGGCAGATGGAGGGAAGCTTGAGGGCCCGGTTGTTGTCGATGGAGATGCCGAAGCTCTCGGCGCCGCCGGAGAGGAGCTCGCACAGACAGATGGGCTGCGAGTCGAAGAGGCCGGCGAGCTCGGGGCAGCAGTCCTTGTCAGGTACCGTATCGTTGCTGCCGGTCATCACGTACGATAAGCAGCTCGACAGGTTTAAGTACGACTGCGTGCAGTCAAGTCCGGACGGGGTCGGCGCCGGGGCTTGCGCGCGTACGCCGCCATGCAGCATGGCGCATGCGACGACGACGACGGTCGCAGCTAGCAGAGGGATCCGGAGGACCGTCGATGTGGCCATGGCGTCGCCGGAGCCTGAGAGTGGCTGCTGTAGGCAGAAACCAGAAGTGCAAGGCGAAGCTTGGTTTGTGCTGCATGTATATAAGTGAAAGAATGGGGTTGGTCGTGAGTATTAATGGTTTGCCTACCTACCAAACTACATATTTAGTTGGATGCACATCTTCTACTTGAGAGGCTTTGCCTTTCGGCCTATGGAGACAACTTTTACCATCAGTTTCTTAGAACACTGAGGAGATGAAATCACAGGAATACTATTGTGGCGTGAAACTTGTGGTGGCTGCAAGTGTGCCAGAGAGAAAAAGACATCTTTGTCGTTGTAAAGCTGAGGTCTTTTAAGCCATACTACAATGAGGATCACCAAGAGGGACTGTCATCACACCTTTTGGAGGCCGATGCTTACCGTCATGGTAACACAACATGCTTGATCTTGCTGTTCCCTTCGAACTCTTCCATCTTCAAATTATGCTGTTGTCTTCTGAACAGAGAGAGAGAGACAGAGAGAGAGAAGGTTATGCTCCAATAAAAACTTGTTTCCATTGTAAAAGCATTCATATAACATTTGTTGCGAATCCAAGCTCAAAGCAAAGACCAAGTGAATGAAAATTTGCAGATCATAGAAGAAGGATAAGGACCTGTTGAATGCCTTTTGCATGCAGCTCAAAGCTCTTTCCACTGAAAATTAACTCATTTCCAGTTGAATGTTAGAAGACATACCATATCTGAGGAATAGATTACATCTAAAAGATTAAGCTAATGAGTTATGGGTGGGATTTACTGGTCACAAGTGAGGATCCTATAAATGCAAACAACTCTAATAATTGCCATTTAAAATGTAGTTGCAGTCTGTTCCTCAGATCGACAATTTGTCCTATCACAATCAATTTGGTATCCATTGGCTTCCGCTATTATGTTAATTTGTTAAGAGAAATTGATCCATATATTTATAAGTATATCTTCACTGAGCTTGGATTGCATCTTAGAGTTCTCATGGAGTATGATTATGTTATTTTTGAAGTACCCATTTCAGTTTCTGATTTCAATCAACTTTCTTCCAAACATGGATTGAAGGGGTCTATGAAAAAGATGTTGCTACTATGTGGATCAGAAACAAAAGATCTCTAGATACAAGGGGATGATGAACTTACCACAGCAAACACGACTGTGAGGCTTTGAACACTGACGACATACATTAGGCTGCTTGCTGTACAGCTAATAGCTCGAGTTCTAAACTACTCAACTACAAATAATCCATAAGACCATGTGAAAGAACTTACTGCCATCCAGTTTCAGATCCAAAGACCCTTTTACTTTGAGAGAATTCAGCAAAATATGTTCGTATTAGCATACAATTGTCATTGAGCATGTTGTCAAGTAAAACAGAGGGAGAATTAAGGATCAGTTGAGAAGAAAAAAAAGACATTTCTTTAAGAGTGAAGAAAAGGGAGTATGTTCTTAGATCCGTTGTCCCACGATCATAGATATGGTCTATGTTGAATATGCCTAAAACACATAATTGATAGCCTCACATCACCATTCCTTGGCTCTAGACTTTGCTTAGTAGGTTTTGAGTTGCAGGAAGATGTGAAGCTGCAGGATCCATTGTTAAAAATTTACATATATTTTTTCTTGTTTCAACCGATCTTTAGCCTGAGATGAGAGTGGATGTTCAACTTTGACTTGTTATGTTTCAGGATTAAGAACAATGAACCTGCTTATGCTTGGTTGTCTCGGTATACTGGATTGCATGTTCATCAGATCAGGCATTTGATCCTACAATTAGCAGAAACACCAGCAGGCATATTGGTTTTGGTTTGGTGTAGAGAACATAGCTGGAGTTTTGAGCATGCTGTCTACCTTGATCAAACCTTCCATAGGCGATGAGGAAGGACTTGATGGAAATTGTTTTATTGTCTATTTAATATCTGGAGCAATATAAATAAATTGGTTTGATCGTCAAATCCCAAAAACTGTATGAATTTTCAATTTCTGGTTGAATCTGTGCAAAATCATCAACATTCAAAATAAAAATTCCATGCCATCTGTGCAAAATCATCAAAGATGTCTTCTTCACACTCAATTTGTGCCGGTGCTTTTGCTGATCCTTCTCATTTTGCACGCCCACATCACCCGAAGACCACGATATAAGAGACTGCTTTCAGAACTTGAATTTTGATCATCCAAATATATGACAATTGGAGATCGACTTCAAGTTGGATAATGAAGTCAAATCTTTTTTCGCAAGGAATTTGGCATATGTTGAAGCCATGTCGAAATAAGCCTGTGAATATTTGGCAAATTCTGTAAGAAATTTTCCAGTATATTGCGATTTGTTAGTGATGATGGAAAAAGCTTGGAGAAGGATGCCAAGAGAAATTTGCCCACCAAATGATCAGTTGGAACATCAAACACAGATTGATCATAATCATATTATCACACCATACAACCACGCAGCATCTTTCTCAACCTTTTATCTTACAAGTCGGGCTATTATTACTAATACTACAGAAAAAAGAAAAAAAATTATAGCACTAATGTCAACAGAACTGGACCACGACCAACAAGTTCATGCCGCTAAGGCATAAATCTGACCAAGCAGTATGTTCCTTGCTACAAGTTTCAAGCCTGCAGATACAAAAGAGAAATAGAGTTAGATCCAAAATCATACATATATAATGTTTCACAAATTCCAGAAATCTGAAACTGCTATTAGAAGCCAATTAAGAAACATGAAGTTACACCGGTGAAAGTATTCCATTAGCCTGAAACTCCAGCTTAAGCGGCATCATCACTCGCGATATGCAACAGTTTTTTTTTTTTTTTTTCGGTTCCCTCTTTTCACATATATTTGGATTCAACCTTCATCAATACTTGAATTCAATTTTTCAAATTGTCTTTATGACCACCTGAAGAGCATTTTTTTTGTGCAACTCATGTAAACTAAATTCTGCAAAGTGCTGCAAATACTACTCAAGGATTAAACCATGATATGTAAAACAGTGTCCGACATCCTATTTTGTAAGGATCTTTGAGCTCTTGCTCTTGTGACTATATGATCGCACATAGCATTTCCAATGCAATCATTACTCAACTCATCTAACTCTATTTCCCAAACATCAGCCTTTGAGAAGGTTCTACAAATTTCTAATATCGGGCAAGTACCTGTTTGTATCACTGTGAACCTCAAGTCCTGTTCAAATCAGAGATACTTGGGCACCGGTCTCCCAAAGCTATGTCCAATCCAACTCGTGTATTGCTTGAGTTCATTTAGCATCCTGATGCCCAGTTAAATGAAGTTAAACTTGGCTAAGTGATACGTATTGCTAATCTATGGAAGAATAGTTTCCACCATTGCTGCAAAAGTTTTTCATAGTGATGCTTAACTCAGTTGACAAATTCAATTTCAGTACTCATTGTCGCAAAAGTCCTATGGTTACACCAATGACCCAAAAGAGATTAAATAATCAAGATACAAATAAATTAATTAAGATACTTAACTCAGTGATGCTTAACTCAGTTGACAAATTCAATTTCAGTACTCATTGTCGCAAAAGTCCTATGGTTACACCAATGACCCAAAAGAGATTAAATAATCAAGATACAAATAAATTAATTAAGATACAAACCTTGGTGACGATATTGTTGGAGAGCCAATCCAGCCCCTCATACAAACCTTCACCAGATGTAGCACATGCGCTCTGAATATACCTGCAACCATATCACACATTTTCTTGATCACCAAACTACGAGTGAAAAAGACCAAGATGTACCTTCATAAAAAAAGGATGTGGTATAATTGTATAAACATGCTTTGGTACTGCATCAAAAACACGACAAAAACAAGAAGCAGCACAAGATAGAAAATAAACATAGTGCAAATTAACATCCCAACTGGAGAAATGAGAAGGCACCAATCAATCTTGAATAAAATTTATGTAGTTCAGAGAATTTCAAGCTTTATAAGCTGAGGAGAAGCATGTGGCTCTTTTGGTTATTATTCTAGCAACTGTTGTGACATTTTTACTTCTGAACACCAATAATTTTACAGAAAACCTTAATTTCTGTAAGACTCTGAAATAAGATGAAGCATTTGGTTATTGTTTGATGTTTCCATCTAATTGGCTGTTATCATATGAACTAACAGGTTAGTTGGAGACAATAAATTGAGCTTTGGGCGAATTCAAAATAAGATGATAGAGTAGATTTTCCCTTTGCTGCAAAAGGATTTTAAGAGTAATACCACCATGACATGTCGACATAAACTGTATGGCCATCACATGCTATTCTCTCCCTTTTTATGAATTATTAGAAGAAAAACGTGGAATTTCTCAGTCTCGGCCACAAATCCTTGCTTCGTATTATAAATAAACAGGAAAAGCAGCAATTCTGGAATATAGCAACATGGGAATCAGGAGTCATACCAGTGTCGGTGACGCAGGGAATGCAGGCCAAGCTTATCAGTAATTTCAGCTGCATTCATTGCATTTGGAAGATCTTGCTTATTTGCAAACACAAGCAAAACTGCATCACGTAACTCATCCTGCATAAAAACCAAATAAATATAGTAAATTAAATTTGAGCAGAAACTTATCTTAGTGAACCAATAAAGAGAAAAGCAACCATCACTAATTTGGCATTTTAATTTCCAACAAGTGACCATGAAATGTACATGCAAACATAATTGCATCCGATCATGACACTGTACTAGAATTTCAAACAGCACAGACATGCTGAATTAGAGAGAACATAATGGTTGTCAACAAACCAAACCAACTCACCTCATTAAGCATCCTGTGGAGTTCATCCCTTGCCTCGATAATACGGTCTCTGTCATTGCTGTCTACAACAAAAATAAGGCCCTGAGTGTTCTGGAAGTAGTGCCTCCACAGAGGTCTGATCTGTTTAGATGAAACACCCAATAAATAAATCAAAATAAGCAAGTATCAGACATAACATACCTCCATAAACTCACAGATGTTCCACAAAATGTGAAGCTTTAATTCCATACTTAAGCAAGTAAAATCAGAGTATCAAATAGAGATGTAACCTACCTTATCTTGACCACCAACATCCCAAACAGTAAAACTAATGTTCTTGTACTCTACAGTCTCCACATTGAATCCTGAATTAAAGCATCAAATTTTATTACTGAATACACAAATTGCCCAGAAAGAGAGAATCTGCTTGTGATTGAAACATAAGTCTACATAGGAAACTGCACTGGTAAATTATGAAGGTAAGTAAATAAATCAAATCCTAGATAAGATGTTAATGCAATCTCTAAATTATAACCAAAACCATCTCTAACATATATTGACTAATTGCTCCAACAGATCCTAAATAAATATGTAGCAATCCCTTAAGAAAAATAATGCCATCAATTCTAAAAATCTTGGATGGAGTTTTAAGGTGAATTTTGATAATGCATCAATCTCAAATCTCCCATGTAAGCAACACACAAACTTTGGTGCCAACGAAGCTCACAGTAAGGATCACTGCAAACTGTTCAGCACTTAATATGTATCAGGGTGGTCCTTCTATGGTATAAGGCTTTACCAAAACCATGAACCAACATAGAAAATGTTGCTAAAAGACCTCAAAGTATTGCATCACTGGTTCCATGAATCATGAGTCACTTCAACATCGCATTTTAACTTACTTCCAAATGCTGGCACTTCAATTTATGAAGAGTTGAATTGTAATATCCAAATAACCAGACACAAGGAAATTTTAAGTCAGCTCAACCAACCATATCGGTAAGATCAAAGACTTACTGTTTCTCTTTTCTTTGGATCTTTTAATCTTGATAGCATGCTTATTATCTTTGATATAACACACAAAGTTGCGCCAAAAGCAACCAACATGAAAAGGGAAAAAGATAGAAAATGATAAGAGAAAATATATATATGCTTGTCCATCCTTAAACTTCTCGATCCCGTGAAAACAAATTATTTTCTTTAACATGCAAACGATCTCCAAAAATCAACAGAAACCAGTTTCAGAATGATTTGCAGGATCACTCTAAAGAGCTATCTTTTGTTCGATTATCCGCAGCGAACAGGAACCATATAGCTTGGCGACGTAGAAAGGGACAGAAGAAAGACAAGACGACGACGACGACGACGACGATCATAATGAGAACGAACCATAATTTCGCAGTATAATGATCTAACGGAGGGAAGAAATCCAAGACTCGTCAAAGAACGCTTACAATTCATAGAGAGAACAAGGTAGAAGAGCCTCGTCAAAAAGAACATAAGATGGACAGGGAAATAGATGCTGACCAATAGTGGGGATGGTGGTAACTATCTCTCCAAGCTTGAGCTTGTACAAGATCGTCGTTTTACCGGCCGCGTCGAGCCCAACCATCAAGATCCTCATCTCCTTCTTCGCAAAGAGCCGGCTGAACAACCTCGTGAAGGTGAGCCCCATCTTGTTCACCACTGACGAACACAGAAAGGCCACACGGATCAAACAAACCAGCAGCAAGCGAAAAGATCGACTGAATTAGTACAGAAAACGATCGAAAGATGTGACGACAGACTTACCGAAGGTCTCTCGGACGAGGCCCCTGCTGCGACCAAGGAAGAGGAGGAAGAAGATGGCGCCCTGGTCCCGCAGCCACCGTTTTATCGTTAACCGGGGGAGGCGAGGACAACATACCGCGTCAAACTCACGCACATCGCGATCCACCGCCACCGCCACCGCCGCCGGTTACCAGGCTTTATAGGTGGGCCCCACGTGGGCCCGCTGTCTTGGCCTGCCTACGAGCGTTAGATTCTTCGAGTGGCATAATTTTATGACTCGTTGAATTTTTGTTGATGTCAAACCAACTATACATCACTGCCAGAGGCTGTATAAGCTTAAGATATATTAAACCTTAAAACACAATTCATATTTCTTCATAAAGAGGAAGTTACTTAAAAGGTTTTGAGAGATTAAGAGGCAAACAATGAAAAATCGATATTCCAAATCGATATTCATGTCATCTAGAAAACAGAAGAGGATCATCCCTGTAATAAGTATCCTATACTTAAATGACATTCAAATTAATAATACTAAACTACAAATATATATTTATTTAATATTATATATTTTGTTGTTGGTGCAATGAATAATTCACGATCCATTGAACGATAGGCCAACACAATCGATGCTGCAGTGACACTGCGAAGGACGATGTCGAGGCTTCAACTATACTAACTATTTTACTATTGTTGTGATAAGTTATAAAGTAACTCATTGATCATTGAAACTCGCTTCTTTGAAGGCACTAGCGACTAATGATAATAAGCACGTCGACGATGGCCACCTATCAGAACTTTGGTGATAGCTATACTATAGCTTCATTGCCCGATTGGTCACCAAGTCTCAACAGATGGTTTCATCGATGGCAATGACCATGAATAGCTAGCTACATTGATCGTGGAGCCTCAATACTAAACCATCAGCCATGACAAAAGTAAACAACAAGAAGCTCCACATAATGTCGACAGGAAGGTAACGTATACCTCTTGCCTTATTGCTTATGATGATTGTGGCCCTCCTCTTCTCTTCGGTGGTGGCTTATTGGTAGGAATCTTACGCTGATAGCTCCACTACCAATGTCGTCAGCAGGATCCCTTCCTCTTCTCTTTAGTGATGCCCATCTACTGTTACTATTAAGGAAGCTATGACTAGCTCTATCCCTGCTTCTTATTGGCGATGATGATAGAGATGACGACGATGATAGAGATTGCGATGATGGTGGCGACCATCGGCAAGAAGGTTTGCAATGGTGATATTCTTACATGTTGCTATTGCATTGGTAGAATAGGTAGAGAAGTGATTTGGGAAAAGAGAAAAAAGTGCGCTCTAATAATAATAAATCAAAAACTTAAAGAGTTTTATTGAACCAATTTTATTTCAAGTCCAACAAACTATTTCAATCCAAATAAACCAGAGTCAATCAAGGCCAATTGATATCAAGTGTCTTCTTTTAAAATTTTAATGATATTTTAGTCCTAATATTTAAAAAGGGTGCCATAGGTAAAGTGGCTTTCTTTAGATAAATTATCTTTATTTTTAAATTTAAAAAATTATTTTAATTTGAAATAAATAAATGGTGATATAAAAGTGACATCTTCTATAGTTAAGTAAGTTAGACATCATCAAACGAAATTTATCAAGTGAGGTCTTGTCTAAATAGTGTAGCAAATTATCATACGAGAGAGAAGGCTTCGAATCCTTAGCTATTTGATAAATAAATTTAATAGACTACCATCAAAACTATGCTTTTTACTTTTAATGCATCAATTTAGATTTTTATACATATATATATATATATATATATATATATGAAGAGACAAGAGAATTATTTAGTTTTTGAGCATTTTACTTACCTATTTGTCTGAAAAACTTAGCTTTTAACGAGGCTAATGTTATTAATTCCATTAATGTGATTTAATAGGGCAATAACGGAGGAGGACGATAGGGCCTCATGAGACGGAGGACAAAGCCTCCCTGTATAGATGAAACAATCTCATAGGACGAATGATATAATTTTACGGGATAGATGACATGGTCTCATGAGACAAAGACAATCACAATAGGACAAGAGATGAGAATGACAAAACCTCATGGGACGATAGCACGATGGGACAATAACACGAGAGGCAAAGAGTAGAGCCTCACAAGACAGAAGATAGCCGTGACGGGACGGAGGTGGCCAGACAATGATGAGAGATATTATGAGTATTTTAAGGAATAAGAGGTACCAAACTAAACTGAGAATATATATATATAAACACACAATAAGCATAATTTTGAGGCAGGCTTTTTATGTTTGAGTGTCTCGATATGATTTTTTTTTTTGTTTGTAATATACAGGACTTGAACTCATGGATATCTCGAGAGATTCTTGGCATATGACGTTACGTTTTCCATTTCGTTATGCCCAATTTCTTATACATCTCAGTCAACATATATCCAAATTATGATCAAATCATGTTTCTTTTGAAGTGTCATCTCATATCGTACACAAACTCTGTCGATAACTAATGTTCAGATTGCTCGAATACATGCAAACGGTGGCTCACTACATTACATGCGTTGAAGCGGAGTAGTTTGAATACCAACAATGGTCAACAGATGCTGCGGAAAGATGAAAGCATCAAACAGCTCGAGAAAGGCTGCAGTCCAAAACATAGATTTGTAGGTAAGCTAAAGGAAAAAAGTTTGTGCATCTTAATTGTGAAACTCAAGAACTTGATGAGGAGTCTTACCAATGAGGAGCATATCGCTATTCTAAGAAGCCACATCAAATGAATATATTTTAGCTCTTTTTCTTTTTTCTAGTGAAGTCTTCTCCTCCATCCAGCTCGAGCGATATGATTAATATTCTCCATTTAATCGGTTGATTTTAATCCAAAATAAGCCAACAATTCGACGAATATTCTCTATAGTTGAATACGATTAGGACTATCCTTTCTAATTGGGATCCTTTCAGGTATGACATAAGTTCTGACCACTGCATCAAGTTCTAACCAAAGAAATATTTATCTTTGGTTACACATGATGTATGGACATTCACTTGATTTGCATGAATTTGCCAAGGGAGCAAACTTTGCTGTTGAAAGTAACATTGTTCCTTGCCTTCCATGTTCTCCATACAACAATAAGGCATCTTCTTTTTACCTTCATCTGAGTTCTACAGCTTCTTTACAAATTGTTTTCACATGATTTTTAAGTTTCTTGATCTTTTCGACGCATGATTTTGATAAATGGATTAATTAAATCGATCCCATATGTCAGAAAAGTGATAAATAATTTGGTTGGACAATCATAAATCCTTAAAACCTAACAAGTTAGGAAAGAATCTAATATATTTACAAGCTCTAGCATTCTCTCTCTTCAAGCTAGTGGAAGCTTAATGTATCTTTTGTATTAAGAAAAATAACCTTACTTCAAGGGTCCATGTGTTTAGATGGGAGAAAGAACAACTTCATCTATCTCTTCTTGTAAACCAAAAAAAAATTCAACTTAATCTTTTAAGATTTCTTTGGCAAAAAGAGAGAAAAATTCAGCTTTTCTTACACTCCAAGAACTACAAACTATAAAGAAAAAAAAATTGCTGATTCTTTTCCTCTCTAAACAACTTGTGTTGAAATTGTTCTTGCATCCAAAAATCTGCTTCAAAGATGTGTTTCTAGAAGACTATTTAATATCAGTCAGTGTGTATACATACAAATATATAAAGTTGACACAAGTCACAATCCTGAATGATAGAGAGGTCACAATTTAATATGGACTGTGACATACTCTTTCCAAGGTGGATGCTGGTTCTAATCAGTAAATTATATTGAAAAGCTTCCAGGTTGCTGAGCTCCCATGTTCCATATTCTCTCCACTTGTGAGATCTTCATAAAGCCATTGCTTTTCATTGGAGATGTCAAAGCTACAGTCAATCATCATAGCCTCTGCAAAAGTGCAGTGCAGTAACAGCAGATCCATCCAAAGAAAGTGCAGCAAAATGGATTAGTAAGTAGCAGCAGTCCATGATATGTTTCTCCCTCTCTGCATGTGAGGTCTATTTATTAGGCAGTTCTCACAGATGCACAAGGGACTTGTTTATTCAGAATCTATAGGCTAAAGGAATCAAGGACTTGCTTCCTAGTCTGTGTTTTTGTTTTTGTGCCCTGGAAAGTTCACTCACTTTGCTAGCCTAAGCTAACCCACCAACTCACCTCGATCTAAATCTATAAAATATGGGAGGCTAATGATTCATCACTGGTACTAACTGATATCAATCACCTTCTCACATGACTCCTGCAGATTAACATGAGGAGTTCAGTTGAAAGGAATAGTCAAATGAGCTTCACATGACCAGCCACTTCCAAGTGAAATGCCTCTATTACAAAATAAGAGGAAGAAGATTCCTTCGAAGAGATAGTTGTTGATTATTAATTAAACAAAATCTTCATATTTGGTCATAAAGCATTGTATAATGAGCTATCAAAATGATTTTGAGTTCTATTAGTTTGCTCTAAAAGTTCATGACTTGGATGAGAATCAAATGAGCCTTCTTGGTTATGTATAAAATATATATATAGATATATGTATACATAGAGACAGAGAGACAGAGAGCGAGAGTTAAAAATACATGGTCTTTTCAGTGATATAGAAGTCTCAGAGTCACTAAATTCACTGTATCTTGTGGTGATCCATTTGGAGGTAAGCATGCTCTAAAGCAGCGTGCAGTCATCAACAGAGTAATACAACTTGATCATGCACCAGATAGGTTTGGTTCTCCATTCACATGTTGTGTCTTTCCTCCATTTTATATTTCTAATTCTGCATCACTGCACTGCTTTCCTGCAATCCTCCTTACAAGGAAGGTGCACAAAAGAAGAACATTGAGATATCATATATTTTTATACATATATATAAATAGATGGAACACTACAGCCTTCCTTTAACCATCCCATATCTTTGCCATACACCAAATCCCCCATGAGTGCCCTTCACAGAGCTGCTTCCATCCTTTGTGCTTTGGTTCTTCTCCATTTCTTTCTTAGCTGCCCATCACCTCCTTCTGAGAGAGAGATCAGAAGAGACAGGCCTCAGCCCAGGAAGCTGTTGCAGCCCTTGGCAGCAGCCACCGTCAACCTGAAAGGATCGCTTGGAGCACTCACCAAGCAGACTGTAGTAGAAGCCAGTGCAAGCCTGAGGAGGTTGCCACCAAGCAAGTCTAATCCAAGCCAGAACAAGGAGAGGAATTG